CCCTTCCTCTTCCCGTTCTCCCCCTTCTCCCAACCCCACTCTTCCGTTCTTTTTCGTTTCCACCCTCCCTCTTTTTCCCTCGTCTCAGTTGTATACACACATACGTGTGTACCTTAATCAACCACCCCCCCTCTGCTCCCTTCTCCCAACTCCACTCTCCCGTTCTTTTTCGTTTTCACCCTCCCTTTTTTTGCCTTCTCTCAGTTGTATATTATACGTATACATCTGTGTACCTCAATCAATCATCGACTAATCAGTGGCTTAATTGATAATTTATTAATCCCCTGTCGAATCAACGATAATCAATCATCGATGATCAATTATCGTTGATTGCTTACCAGTCGGTTAAACCATTGATCGATTATTGATTGATCATTCGGACTATCGATTGATCTAATTAGCGATGACCGTTGACCGTTAATCGATCGTCGGTAATAGATTGATTGATGGGGGCTTATGGTCATCATCATGGATTATTGAAGTATTATACGCTGCTTGCTCGATGGGTTAATCAATAAGACATCAATCCTTCGCTGAAGCGAAAGAACAACGTAGTGGCAATCTATGACTGAAACACACATAGATATATATATATATCTCGTGCAAGTGGGTCGATATGACACACGGGGATGGGTCAGCCGCCGCTCAACCTACATCCACGTGGGGGGCCTTGTACGCAAGAGGTTCTGAACAGGGGGAGTTGTAAGAAAGAAGATAAAAAACACGAATGCTTTTTTTCTTGTTTTCCTCTGTTTTTTTCGCCATTGCGCTCTTATATTCATGTGACGATATATATATCGTCAAACAAAACTGCCCGGTAAATCGTAGGCAGAGGGGGAAAAGAGGATTTAAGTATTGATTTATTATACACTTACCTATTTTTATGTAGGCAAATCGTGGTGGTTCTCCATCTGAGCAGCAGGATCTTCTCCGTTCGACAAGGAATTGAACCTAGTAATGTATACAAGCTCCGGCCAGTTGCAGCGAAAATGAGGGTGGTTGTGAGGATCCCAGACAGCTCGGCGGTCGCCGCAGCAACATTCGGCAGTGGACTCGGAGAACAGAAGTTTCGGGGGAAGGTTCGGGGAAGATTCGGGGGAGGGGTCGGAGAAGACTCGGCGGTGGGCTCGGAGAGAAGATTCGGCGGAGGGCTCGGGGAAGATTCGGCAGTTGGTTCGGAGAAGATTCGGCCGTAGGCCTGCCATCTTCCCCGGAACACAACGCACCCTCATTTTCGCTGCACCTGGCTGGAAAAATAGCTTGTATACATTAATTTTCAGGGTGAGTTATGTTTGGGGGAAGACGGTAGAGAATAATTGGACTTAGCTTCCAGGAAGGTCTGTAAGAGGTTCGGCAGCAGCGTGGCAAGGGATAATCTCAACAGCACCTTCGGCAACGAATCTTCTCCCATATTCCTTTTTTTTTTTTTTTTTTTTTTTTAATTACAAAACGAATCTTCTCCGAGCCTACGGCCGAATCTTCTCTTGTCCGAGTCTACTGCCGAACGTTGCTCCGATGGTTATAAGTGTGTATAGGTTTCGCGTGTTTAGCGGCCGCCTCGTAGAGGATATAAAGTACTCCACYTTGTACTTAACAATTCGTTATCGTCTAGACGAAGCCCTCAACCTTGCACCCTCTCCCTCGGAACCTTCGTGGAACCTTCGTGGAACGATCCTTCCCCGGGAGGCGTCTGCCGATCCTTCCCGTCTCGCAAGCTTGCCGAACCTTCGCGGAAGGATCGTCGAAGTATTCCCAAGCCTTCGGCGGCGGTTTATCGGCGCGCAGCTCGTCCGCGTCTCTTACGAGTCTCGTCCCCTTGGCGGCGTACTATAGTAACTTGCCCCAATCTTTGTCCCACTTACCAGCTCGGACGGATCTCCATGATCTTATAGATCCATCTCCCATCTTTCCTCTCATCAATATTGTCCTTCAATCTTAACCAGCAATCGTATCCATGATGGATCTTATCCGTCTATAGTCTTCCGTATATCCTTCTCATCCATTCATCCTATCCACCAATCCACCATCTTATCCATCTTATCCATCATATCCGTCCATCTTATCCATCTTATCCATCCTATCCATCCTATCCATCTTATCCATCCTATCCATCCTATCCATCTTATCCATCCTATCCAACGTAAGCATCTTACCTATCTTATCCATCTAATCCATCCGTTCATCTCATTCATCCAATCAATCCACCATCTTATCCACCATATCCATCATATCCGTCCATCTTATTCATCATATCCGTCCATCTTATTCATCCATCTTATCCATCTTATCCATCGTAAGCATTTACCTATCTTATCCATCGAATCCATCCGTTCATCTCATCCATCTAATCAATCTGTTCATCTCATTCGTTTGATCAATCCGTCATCTCATTATTCGTTTGATCAATCCGTTCATCTCATCCGTTTGATCAATCCGTTCATCTCGTCCGTTCGATCAATCCGTTCATCTCATCCATCTATCCATCTTGTCCATTCATCTTACCATCTTATCACATCTTATCCATCCATCCTACCATCTTGTCACATCTTATCCATCCATCCATCCATCTTATCACATCTTATCCATCCATCCATCCATTCATCTTATCCATCCAATCCATCCGTTGATCTCATCTATCTATCCATCTTGTCCAGCCATCTTACTACCATCTTATCCATTCATTCATCCATTCATCCGTTTTTATTTTGAACGTCTTATCCATCTTTCCCCGCTGCAACCCCCTCAATGTCACGGCCACAGATAAGTACCGGCCCTTCGGGCCTGCCGAACTACCAAGTGCCCTTGCGGGTCACACACACACTCAAGCCGAGAAGCACTCAGACAGGCATGCAGACCAGCAAGCACGCACTCACACAGACTTAGGAAACTCGGTAAGACATTCATTCCATGAGCAAAACTCAGAACTCAGCTGCGTGTCTCAGTCCGTGTTTGGCAGGCATTTATGCGTGTCATCCTTGTGCAGAGGCCATGCTACCGTCTTCCCCCGAACACAACGCACCCTCATTTTGGATGTATCTGGCCGGAAATATAGTTTGTATACATTCATTTTTAGGGTGCGTTGTGCTCGGGGGAAGACGATAGTCTTCCCAAAGGTTGACTGGCCTTCTTTTCTGAATCATGCTATGTACAAATCAGGCTTGGGCATACTCATATGCTCTCACGAGCTTCTTAGGATGAATCTGGCCGTCGTGGCCAGTCCGATACGTACCAGGAAAGTCCCTTGTGTGATCATGCATGCCTGTAGGCCTTCTAGTCGTTTTCTCAGGATGAATCTGGCCATCGTGGCCACTCCGATACGTACCAGGAAAGTCCCCTCTGTGTGGCGGGTCGGATATGTACCAGGAAGGTCCCCTGTGTGATTATGCCCGTACGACTCCTAGTCGTCTTTTACTCGTACAGAAAGCGGTAGGGGATCCTGAAGAAGTCCGAGATTTTTCCGATGGATCTCATGGAAGGATGGATGGATCAGATTGCTTTAGTTACAAAAAGCTATGGCCTTTCATTCCTTGAGGGGGCCAAAAAAAAAAAAGTATAAATCTTTAAAAATGCAAAAGATGCTTGGCATCTATTGCTGTTGCATGTGTGATGTTTATAAATCTTTAAAAATGCAAAAGATGCTTGGCATCTATTGCTGTTGCACGTGTGATGGAACATTTCATGCAGAGAAAAGGCCAAGCTGTTCGGCTGCCACGTGGCAGAAAGTCAGGAACTACTTTCCAGCCCCCGTTCTCCCGCTTTTTTTTTTTTTTCCAATGGTACTATGTATTTCTTTGAGTTCTCCCGCTTTTGTTCACTATCCAGTCCGATCTTCCCTGTCTGTATGTGTTATCCTGGTGGGGGAAGGAGGGTATCCTTTTTTCTCCTTTCTTTCTTTTTTTTTGGGGGGGGGGGGGGGGGGGTTTGGGTGGGGAGGGTATGGTAATGGGGTAGGGATGGAATCTGGTGCAAGTTGGTGGCTGCCACGGGGTTTGTCGAATTCCGGTGGGGGAAGGAGGGTCTCCTCATCGGAGAGGAATGCCATATAGCACTACGGTAGTTGCTTGCTGGCTGCCGAATGGAAGAAACTGGGGCAACCACTGTCAGCCCCCTCCTCCTCTCTGTTGTTCGCTCGTCAAGGCCTATCTGCATGAGCATACGTCCGCTTCCGCATGTGGCAGCCATCTGGTACTAGTTGCTCACTGCCGGATGCCATGAACTGGGTACGCACGCATGTGTAGTATTGGGGTGGGCGGTGGGCGGTGGGCGGTGGGCGGAGGCGTATCTTCTTTGGAGAGGAATGCCATGGCACACCACCGCTTGCCACATTTTGTTCAATCGGGTACCGCCGGACTTAGGAAGCTTGATGGTTTGTCCCAGAGTGGGGCTGGGGGAAAGTGGAGATGATGTGGGCACTTGAGAACCGCCCTCTCTCTCTCTCTCTCTGTTTTGCTCGTCCTCACTGTTGTCTTCTCTTTAATTCGCTCTTGCCTCCTCTCCCCAACCCCCCTTTTCTGCTCTTTATCTCACTATTCCGCCTCCTCTCTCTCTCTCTCTCGTTTGGTTCTCCTTTCCCTCGTCTTTGTTTTTCTGTTAAAGCAGTGCTACTACCTATGACCTAGCCTGCCTAATCAAATAGAGTTTTGCAAGGCCAAAGTACGGGGCCCGTTTTCTGGGAGTCCGGCAGTGGACGCCGTAATCTGTGTCTTAACGTCGGTGCACTTGCTATTGCTTGCGGCCCTTTCGGTGCACTTTTTGATGGTCCCCCACAGCCACTAGCCTAGAAAGTAGAAGTCCATCACAAGTACCGTGTGTCTCTTTCCTTTCTTCTTCCCCTTCTCCTGCTGTTCTTTCTTCCTCGTCATTCTCTTCTTTGTTATCATGTCCACACGTGCACACACCTTGCACGCTCAACGACATTTGTGCCACGATTCTTGCATTCGAAATTTGTGAGAGGAGGTAGCGATGCATGTATGCATGCAGACACGTCCACATACGTACGCATGCATGCATGCATGCATGCAGACACGTCCACATACATGCATTTGCATGCATGCAGACACGGCCATATACATTTTGATGCATGCAGACACGTCCACATACATAGACATGCATGCATGCAGACATGCATGCAGACACGTCCACATACATAGACATGCATGCATGCGGACACGTCCACATACATTTGCATGCATGCAGACACGTCCACATACATAGACATGCATGCATGCAGACACGTCCACACACATAGACATAAATACATGCAGACACGTCCACGTGGGTATGCATGCATGCATACATGAAGAGTAAGTGCATATGTATGTGCACCACTCATGACACACGCCACTCACACACACACATCGCGAAGAAAAAAAGAAAAAATAATCTTGTTCTGAACTTCTTATCGGGAGGCAAAACAAGGAAAGACTAGTGCTGTCTGAAAAGACAAAACAAAACAAGAATAGTGCTCTCTGTGGAGCCTCTTTGTTTTTAACTATCCTGAAACTATTGTGTGTGATGAATTGTGCAGGTGGATAGTAGACTTTCAAAATTGAAGCAAGAGGTTGACCGGCGTGACGCGTTTCATCGTGAGACTCTCTCTCTGGTCAGCTTCCATTGCCCGCGACCCTCATCCCAACCCTCATGCTCTGCAACTGATCCTGCAGATGTCCCGCGAATGTTTGCGAGTGAGGTTTCCAATGTTTGTCTAGAGTGAGCGAGGTTGTCATTGTCCGTCTAGAGAGTTGCAAGTCCTACGAGGAGTAATGTTGTGCAGTCTATGCTGCTGCTCTGTTAGTGTGCCCAGGTCAGGTTGTCAGATTGGACAAGAGGGGTGTACGGAGAGGGGAAGGCTATGGAAGTGTTCTCTTCAGTGCAGCGGCTGAATGGCCCGAATCTTGTTAACCCACCAGTACATTCGAGGCTAATTGTACGAGCCTGGAAGCAAGAGGGTGGCACCAGTACCGCCCTCTGTGCTGGACCTGCAGCCAGCAGTTGGAACAAAAAGGAGATCGTCCATTTCTAGTTTTCATTCCTATGCCATCCCAGGACTAGCCATAATTGCAGCCAGATACATTCAGGAAAGTGCTAGCGTGAGAATGCCCTGAAATGAAAGGGGCTGAAAGGGAATCAAGTGATCGCTTCGCGTGTTGTCATAAACCCAAGATTTATGTTTTGCGCGAGCAATGCAGGCTTTTAGAGTCTAGACAAAGAAGAACAAAAAATTGGAATGCGCGAATCCGTTCTATTTGTGCTCCCCGTCTCTCATGGGGACACAGAGTAATCGACCGTGGTGTAAATTACCAGCGGGCATATGTCAGTTGGTACAGTGATGAAATGTTGAGGTGTTGAAATACACACCACCTGAGTTTGAATCCAGATGCGACAACATGGACAGAATACAATAATTCTGAATTATCTGGGACCAGCTAGTTCAATGATGATATTTAAGGCCATCGCCTTGGAATAAGAATGCCTCAAAAAAAGGAAAAGAAGCACACGAGACACCCACCCATCCACCCTCCACATTCATGCTTGAATCGATGAACGTCCAACAAAAGAGTCTGACACAGTCATGCTTTTGTTGTGCAGTTGTGTATAATGAACATGACAGCCCACACACATTTTTGGGGGCCGGTGTTGAGCGTGGCCGCAAATTTGTTTTCTCGTTGGAGGGTTTCAGCACACATATTTTTTGGGGGGAGGGGCGGGTTGTGACACCACAACCCGATCCCCGCTTCCCCCCCCCTTTCATTGACCCCCTATTTTCGAGGGTGCATTGCACATATGCACGTGCGTGGTGCACTGTGTGTGGATGAGTTCACTGTGTTTGGGCCAGAAAGAAACGTTAGGCTTGGTAATTCATGGGCCGCCGCACTGGCGGTGGTTTAAAATGACCTTCGGATTATGAAATCAGAAATCTGTTTGTGAACATCTGAACATGTCCTCCTGAATGTTGGAGGCTCTCTTTCATCGCCTTTCAGTGAACTCTCTATCATTGGATGCAATCGTCCAGGGGTTGAAAGCTCTGGAGGCACTCAGTTGTAGGCTCTCCTCAACCGAATTACACATGGTGGATCTGGCTGGTGGATCCGGGGAGGTTGAGCGGTCAGGATGAAAAAGAGAGAATGAAGTTTAAGGGTGAATTTAGTTAACAACTCAACAACAAATAAATAATAAAATATTATACTGATTGATTTAATGAAACCATCGTGTACAAAAGAGGAAATAACTGTGTTGCCCACTGCACGGCCTGGGTCACCTGGATTGGCAGGGCAAGGGCCAGGGACGGCCCCTGTGAAAGAAACAAAACAAGAAGATCCAAAAAATCTGGAAGAAAAACGACGTTCTGCAGAAAAATAAACTGAAGAACTTTTGTCTCAGGGTCACCTTGTAATTCTTTGCCGAATTAAGAATGAAATGCTGGGGAGATATCCTGGGCGCCCAGGTCCCGACGTCACGCCCGGTCTGGGGACCGGGTGACCGGCCGGGCATGACCCCCCGTCATGGGCCCAGGCAGCCCCAGCGCAAAAAAAAGAAAAAAAGAAAGACAACAAATCACACTAAGACACCCCTCTTTAAACCCCTTTAGCCCCTTTAAAATCATTTATACTCACCTTCCCCCCCCTTGACAGCCAACTCTCAAAAAAAGAGAAGAGCCCGGATTTGGGCTCCTCTCGGACAGCACGGAAAAACCCTGGCAACTTTTTTTTTTTCAATTTTTTTCCTCATGCCTGGGTATCCCGGGCGTCACGCCCGGGTGACTGGCCGGTCCAGACCGGCCGGTCGTGAAAATCTTCCTAGGTGGAAAGTAGAAAATAAGAATATTTATTTTTATTTTTTATTTCGTTTTTGGCCTGGCCGGGCAAGTGGTCCCGGGTCACTGTGGTGACATGGGTAGGGAGAATTAAGTCAACAACTAGGCTACCAGCCGGGCCGCCCAGGTCACCTTATTTTCCTGGGCGGGCGGGCTGGCCGGGCAAGGACCAGGGAAGGTCCCATCAAAAAAAAAAAAAAAAAAAAAAAAAAACCCGTAAAAAACTATGTTATGCGGAAACGTAAACTGAACAACGTTTGCCTCAGGGTTCAATCGAAATTCTTTACCAAATTGAAAATAAAAATAAAAAGGGATTATTTGCAAAATAGCCCCATAAGTTGAGATATATGCCAAAATGCCCCTAAAAGATGTGGGCAGAGCGGAATGGCCCTCTGACAAAAAACATATTTTGTGAAATACCCCTGGCGTCCATTGGACCCCCATTTTTGCAATATAACCCCTACCGGGTACCGTCCCCAGTACCCGCCAACTTTTCCTAGGTGCTTTTGCAAAAGGCCAAGTCCCAAACGGGGAGGTGCGGATTGGAAAGTTGCACACCCGCGTGACAGGGGCACAACACAAAGATTTCGGCCCAAAAGGGCATTCCGCTCTACCCACATCTTTCAGGGGCATTTTGGCATATATCTCAACTTATGGGGGTATTTTTTCAAAGTATCCCGAATGAAAATAAGAATATATATGTCCTCTTCTCTCTCTCTGCCTACGGTTTACCGGGCAGCTCTGCTTGATGATTTAAAAATCTTTTTTGGGCCCGGCTGGGCAAGTGGTCCCAGGCCACTCTTGTTTTCCTTGTTTTCTTTCGTTTTGCGCTTCGGCGCTCTGATATCATGTGACAACATATACTCCAACGTTGCTAGCTCTCTGCTTTTGCAGATGATGCGGCGAGCGTCAGGCCTGTACTAGCAGGCTTTGCTTTTGTTATGGTAGAGAATAATTTCTACATTTGTTCTTGTCATTCCTCCTTTTCTTGTTTCTTTTCCTTTACTTTTTTTCCCGTTGCTGGGGTATTCCGTTTTGCGGGGTGTATGGTTCCGTTTTTTGACTATGGATATGGTAGATTTGTTATGGTATTTAAGAAAACGTTAGAGAAAGGACAAGGGAAGGAAGGGGTATTAGTCAAACAAATTAAATGACACATCCCATTTTTTATGTAATTTTCCCCGTTGTTGGGGTATTTTGTTTTGTTGTGGTAATCTTGTCTGCATCCTGGTTGGTTGTCCCGTTATTCGGTCTAAGCAGGTAGCGGTGCTTCATGTGGGACCAGTCATCCGGGCTTTTTTATTGTTTTGGCATCCTGGTTGGTTGTTTCCCGTTGTTCGGCCTTTTGGAAAGCGGGACGGTGCTTGCATGTGGGAATCATCATCATCCAGGATTGCTTTTTATACCTGTCCTCCGGGTTCTTTTTGATTTTTTTTGCAGACAAGAATGCTTGACATCCTGGTTGGTCTTGTCCCATTGTTTGGCCTATGGGCAGGGGCGGTGCTTGCATGTGGGACTTGTCATCTGGGATCTGTTTTGTTGCCCCTTGTTCTGTATTAGTTGGCTGTTCCCTTCCTCTTTTCTTTGCCTCTTTGCCTTTTGGCTGTGTGCAAGTGGGTTGATATGACACAGGGGGGTGGGGGCAGCCGCCACTCAACCTACATCCACGTGGGTGGCCTTGTACGCAAGAGGTTCTGAACAGGGGGAGTTGTAAGGAAGAAGATTAAAAATGAATTAAGTTTTTCTTGTTTTCCTCGTTTTTCGCTTCGGCGCTCTGATATCATATGACAATATGGTTCAGCCTCCTGATGAGTCGGTGAAACTCCGACGAAACAGTTTGTCACAACCCCTCGTTTGTCTCCTGATGAGTCGGTGAAACTCTGACGAAACAGTTTGTCACAGCCCCTCGTTTGTTGTCCTCTTCTCCCTCTCTGCCTACGGTTTACCGGGCAGTTCTATTTGACGATATATACTACGACTTCGCTAGCTTCCTGCTACGGTTTTCTCCGGTCAGGTCGAGCGGCAGTGGTCGGGGCCGTCACTACCCGGCCATGCTGTGCCTCTAGTGCCAGCGGCGTGTCTGGAGTGTATTTTTTGGCTGTGACAGACCTTTCTTTGTTTCGTGGGTGTTTTGCTGGCTTGTGATGGGGTGTGAACCGACAGTCTGTAGAGTTTTCCATCTGGTGTGGGTGACTGATAGTCTACTTTGATTTTGGTTAAGGTGGATTATCACTTACAGTGTAATGAGTGAGGGGATTCTACAGACTGTTGAGGGTTCAGCCTCCTGATGAGTCGGTGAAACTCCGACGAAACAGTTTGTCACAGCCCCTCGTTTGTTGTCCTCTTCTCCCTCTCTGCCTACGGTTTACCAGGCAGTTCTATTTGACGATATATATATTTTATGTTTTCAATTTCTTTTGGCCCGGTCGGGCAAGTGGCCCCGGGCCACTCTGGTAGCCTAGATAATATGTTAATAAACATACTGATTGGTTAAATGACACCATCATGTATGGAAGACAATTTAGTAATTTACTCCATTGAATCCATTTCCTTTTTTACATGATATCTCTTGTGTATATGTTTATTCAATATTTTAAAACTACAGTGACTAAAAAGTCACTAAAACTATTTAGTATTTAGTATTTAATTAATTTTAATATTTATGGTTCAATTTATGTTCATGAAGGTTGAGCACTTGAGACTGAGAGTATAAATAGTAACGTGGGATTTGTATGTGATGTGTGATGTTGTGTGTTTCAGCTTGGAAAAGGAGTCGAAGGATTGTTTGAGAGCTTTCGACGTCTAGATGCCCGCATATCAGGTGTAGGACATACAGCAGCGCGAATTGGGGATCACTTGCAGGTAAAACAATTGTTAAAACTTAAAATGTAACCTTTTTATTTTCCATGCCGGTCTGTCGTCTTTTGTTGGCTACTTTTTTTTATTAATAAATCATAAATGTTGATGGTTATTCTGCTGTATGCATGAGTGATATACAGATGTAATCGAAGGACGTTCACAGTAGTTAGTTGTATACTAGTTCAGATAGGCTGTAGAGAGATTGTCAATGTCAATGGAATATCATACCGTACAGCAAAAATGGAGGTATTAAAGAAACCTCGCCATAGGAGGAAATAAGATATGTCTATGCCATTGTTTGCCATATTTTCATTCGTTTCCTTCTTTGCATTTTGATTCAATACGAAATGGAGGGAGGGAGGGAGAGAGAGAGGAAGGGAGGGAGGAATGCATGGACTTACTATGGTCGTCAATTTACATGTTTGTTTATCTTGTTGCTCTTCATTGTTGGAACGCTCACAGGAGCTCTCATTGCCACTCTAGAATAATGAGTGACCACTGACCTCTCTCTTGTAAGTTTTGCTGACTTGTTGACTTCTCATGTCAAGACCCAAGAATGGTGAAATATATACCTAGGCAAACCTTGCTGATAACATAAAATGGATGGGAGATCAATAAACCAACCAAATCAACCAACCAACCAACCAACCAACCAACCAACCAACCAATCAATTAATCAACCAGTTGATCAATCAGTCAACCAACTAACCAAGCAATGAATCAACCAGTCGATTGATCAACCAACCAATCAACCAATCAACCAATCAACCAATCAACCAATCAACCAGTCAATTGACCACTCGATTGATCAAATCAAATCAAATCAATCGATCAAACCAAATCAGTCGATCAATCAACCAGTCAATTGATTAAATCAAATCAATCAGTCAAACCAAATCAATTGATCAAATCCACCAATCAAACAAGTCAAAAATCAAATCAATTGAATCAATCAGATCAGATCAAAATAAAATCAATCAATCAAATCAAATCAATTGAATCAATGAAATCAATCAAATGAAACACATTGCAGTGATTGTTTTCATCGATTAAACATATTATACCTTGCTGTTAGGTTGGAGATCGAGACTTACATGCACACGCAGTACACAGCATGCAACATTCGTCGGATGAAGCTGGAATCATCTTACAGCCACCGTGAGTACGATGCGACTATATGATGTTTTAAACCACCAGTACTTGCCCCAGCTATCGATGTCGAGCCTCGAATGCCCCTGCGTGCCAATTTTTGCCGAAGCGCCAGGGTACCGTTTTGATTTTTTTTTGGCTGGCGCGTCCAGCCATTCTGGTCTGGTACCCCGAAGCCCTAAGGCGTGGTGCGTTAACGGGGAAGCGCCGCGGCTGATAGCTGGGCCAAGTACTGGTGGTTTAATGTTTGCAAACAAAAATAGCAAATTAAGATTGCCGTTTGCTGCTGGTTGATCGACTGTATGCTTGCTTACTCTGCGATTCTGATGTGGCAGATTGTTGATGTCACAAATTATAGACTAAGATCGTGTGGCGATGTATCAATCCCAAGATCCATTTCCAAACTCTGTCATTTTATCACCAATCAATCCCAATGCCTTCCTCTTTGATAGATTGTGTAACAATCATCTGCAGATTCTGAAAATCGAGACAGATACATGGCAATTTCTCTTGTTGGTTGGTGCCTCGGCAGGAAGGCAAATGGGGTGGGGGGGGGGGGGGGGGGGGGGGGGGGGGGGGGGGGGGGGGGGGGGGGGGGGGGGGGGGGGAGAGCGAAAGAGCAAGCCGGAACCATGAGGCGTTGTTTTATTTTTTTCATTTTATTTGATTTTTTCCCTTCCCTGAGGGGAAAGATTGTGGGTGTGATTTGTAAAAACTCTTTGGTTGGCTCACTGGCTGTGGTATGGCTGGGAAAACCAGAAATGGATTATATCAAACTATTAAAAACTCAATAAAAAGTTAATAAAAACTCAAAAAAAGAAAAAGGGATGTAAATACTAAGTAGTAATGATGTCCTAATGAGTGAGGTGAAGTTGCCTACAACCACACCTCACCAATTGGATTGTACAAAGAAGGTCCAGTCTGTAGACCCTGCAGGCCGATGTGCGTTTGAACTTGTAGGTTTTCCAGTTGGTGACTCTATTTGAAATGGAGTTGAAGGAGATTGATGTGTGGGTTTGAAGGTTGAATCTTTGTCCCCTTTCCAATGGCTGAACAACCTCTGTCCATTCCAATTGGTGAGGTGGAGTTCAGGAGGTTGATGTGTGGGTTTGAAGTTTGAACCTGGTTCAGGAGGTTGATGTGTGGGATGGAAATTTGGATCTAGTTCAGGATGTTTTTATGTGTGGGATTGAACCTAGTTGAGGAGGTTGATGTGTGGGAGTGAACCTAATTCAGGAGGTTGATGTGTGTGTGGGTCTGAACCTTTGTCCTTTCCAGTTGGTGGAGGAAACCTTCGTCCTTTCCGATTGGTTGTGTGGTGGGTTAGAACCTTTGTCCTTCCCAATTGGTAAAGTAACCTTTGTCCTCTTTTCTAATTGGTGGGGATGAACCATTGTCCATTCCAATCGGTGAGGTAAAGTTCAGCGGAGGTGGATGCGTGCTACAAGGAAGGGAGGGTTTGATGCTTTGTCCATTCCATCTTGTTGACAGAGACTACCGGTAGTATGCAGATTGTAGGAGGGCCTTTTTTGGTAGATGAAGAATGGTGGTTTATCGCAATCAGGTTATTATCAACTTTTAACTTATTATTGGAAATGAAAAAAAAAAAAGAATATAATCTCTGTTTGGAATGTTTGTTTGGGTATCGTTTTGGCAGAGTGGCAATTCGCAGCTGCCATCCTGACTGTAAGGGTTGCAATGTGTTGCAGAGTGCAGATGCGCAGCGGGAAACTGCGAAGCACACAATCGAGCTGATCCAGGTATGCACACCAGTTGTGTAAAATTAGGCCTTGCTCATAGATATCTTCCCTATACCTATATATGATTCGAGCTTCGCTCTCGTGCTAAGGTCTACACTATATGGCTTTCCGAACTGAATCTGGCTGTGTAATTGATCAAATACGAGGGGGTAGTCCTGATCTGAGTATGCTGTTATTCATGATCCAGGCCAAGATAAATGGTGTTGGATGATTTATGGTAGCATATGGCATAGCAGGAAATGCAAGAGAACTTGTACGTATCGGAATTCGGGTGTAGCATGAGTAGGCTAGGGTGATAGGAGCGTCAGTCAGGAGAACTGGCGGATGGCCGCAGTAGGAGTACTACATTGTTGTTGCATTTGTGAGTGGAGGCGTTGGGAGTGCTTTCATTATACATACTTCAGTGCGTTGCTTGTTCCCATTTGGTGTGATCTCGCTTTGCTTTCCGCTTTCAGTTTGGACTCAGTGACATCTGGTCCTCTGTGAGGTGCTGCAACTTGGTTTATTGTTGTTCGCATCGCGTATTTCTCCGCACAACAATGATGTTGTGAAGACATACACTGACGCAGTGCCAAGAAGGTGTACAGGACGACTTTTAAGCCACCAGTACACCTGGGCCTGGAGGCGCTGCACTGCGCTCCAAGTTTTCCTGAATTGCCAGCGGCGCAATTTTTTTCTTTCCTGGCTTGCACCGCCAGCCATTGTGGTCCAGTTGGCCTTTCCCTGTAGGCGGCGATGAACATTTATCTGCAACGCAGGGTCCAAGTTGTGAGCGCTTGTTATTCAGAAAGTACAACCACCCTTGTATTTATCTTTTCGCAAAGGGAAAAAAAGCAGAGTCATTTGCCTCTGGTGCAGGTTCTCGTATATAATTTGAACCAGAACTCCAAGCCTTGGCTTTACACTGTTTACGGACTTGTTTTAGGGTTTTCCGGAGGCCAGTTGATTGTAAATGAGGTTTCGGCGGTGAACTCGATTGTTGACTGCGCAGATATATATTTTTAGCCCTTTTCTTGAGAGCTCACTAAATGCCCTCTGATGTTTTACCCAATGCATTCTGAAAACTTTTGACTAATCAGTGTAATCACCCAGTATCTACCGTGTCCATGCAATTTGATTGATGATTTATCGAATGTTTTGCTGTGCCTCGGATCTGGTTTGTGTTTGGATTTTTTTTTTTTTTTGAAATAAATAAATTTGGATGCAGTATTTGATGGAGTTCAACGAGAGCGCAAATGACTTGACAGATCTCTCACCGTTATTTACGGATGATGCGCGGGTTGCGGAGGCTGCAGCAGTTGCCCAGCAACTTCGTAAGCACCGGCTCGTACCCCAACTCTTTTTTTTTTTGCTGAACCTTTGTGCCTTTTGAGGACAATGATTGATTGATTGATCGATTGATTGATTGATTGCTCTTAGCCCAGCAGTAGCTCTGAACCTTGGCCACAAAACCTGTTTCATCTTTTTGGTGTAAGGGTTTTATACGCTCATGATGAGGGTGCGCGCGTTTGTTGGGGGGGGGGGGGAAGATGGTAGTAGCAAGCTCGGGTTTTTGACTCAGACCGGACAACTGAACGTTGCCCTACTGGAGCCATGATTGGCCATTGAAGTGGCGGCACTGCCTTCGCTACTGCCATGGGTCCCGAATTGTGGAAGCTGTCTTTTGCCCAAGGCTGCATCTGTTGAACATTGGAGACCTCGTACACATTTGCGACTACAACTTCTTTTTCTCTATGGAAAAGAATGGTGCGGCCACAACAAAGGAGTTGACAGAACTGTATAGCTGCTGACATGAACCGTTGCAGTCATATGGCAATTAACATTCACATTTGCGACTACAGCTTCTTTTTCTCCTTTTGCGGCTGCTGCCATCATCAGAAATTGTTCTGTGAACGCATTCTCCATCACCGGAGGCAGTGGTGATATGAGCCGCTGACACCTCCGTGAGGCTCATCGATTGGACATGCTCCCCTCTTTTTGTGGATGGGGCGAAAGACTCAACTGAACCGTCTAGTAGCGGGTTCCCTCCAAAGTTTCCCTTGGGATATCTGGAGCTGCTGAACAGTTTTATTGGGTAAAGCGAATAAAGCGAATGATTAGAGGGTGTGAAACGACCCGAGGCCTATGGTTAGTATTTGAACCTGCCGCAGCTCAATCGCCTGGCATGATGTTGCAAGTGTTAAACATGGTGGAAAAGAGGCCGGACGTGATCCGAGTCTCAGGCGTGGCAGTTGATCACTCCTTTCATCGAGCCTCTTACTCTGGTGGCCTGGGGCATTCACGCTGTGATTAAGTGAAATTGTGGACCTATTGAATGCGCTGATGGTTTCAAGTCGGAGTTGCTTCTTTCAAGTCGGAGTTGCTTCTTTCAAGTCGGAGTTGCTTCTTCTTAAGAGTCTGTTTTTGGGGTGGGGAAAGGAGAAGAGTGAGGGTGAAATGCCCTGACTCTGCGTTGGGGGAGAGGAGGGTGTGGGTGTAAGCATACAGTGCAGCCTTTCGGCCTTGTGCACTTGGGGGAGCACGGTGGCCTACGGCCCTCTGCCTGCTGGTGGTCAAAACCAGCGAGGCCTTAGTCGCAGTGGTGAAATACTACATGGAGGCAGATCGCCTATTGTATTGGGGACAGACGACTACACGGCATCTCCAAGCGCTGCAGCCTATAGGTGATACCGGCGAGATCAAGTCAATTTGTTTTTTTTACCCGGTGCTTGGTTGATTGTTCGGTAAGGAGTATTTACTCTTTTGAGGGGTTATGCCTGACTCTGTCTTGGAGTAAGTTTGACACTCTATCCTTGGGGGGGATTGCATACCTTTTGTTGAGGGATGATTGATTGCCTGCAGTTGACTGCACCAACTCGCTTATTCAGTTTCTCGCTTGAGTTTTTGATGTTTTGTTCGAAATTCAAAAGTTGGCATGGGCTGAATGGTGCAACCAAGTGAGATAGAGAAAGCGGCCTATATTACAGCATGGAAAAAAGGAATACCTTCTCAGCTCCCTCCAAAGAATTACGTTCTTCCAAATCTGCAACTGTGGTTGTGAGGTGTGCTTACCTGTGTCTAGGATGAATTGTGTGCAAGTCTCTGAGCGTGTTGGACCTCTCCAGCTGGGTATCTGTGCCTAGGAGGACCAGTGCACCGGCGAGTCTATGGAAGCTTTTTTGCGAGACTAGGTGTATCAGTAACAGCAACAGTTCTCAGAAATGAACTTTCAGTGTACACAGAGCAAGTGCAGTGTCTGTTTTTCAGCACTCTAGTTTGCCGTCAACCAGAACCTCTGTAACGTGTGTGTGTGTGTGTGTGTGTGTGTGTGTGTGTGTGTGTGTGTGTGTGAGAGAGAGAGAGAGAGAGAGAGAGAGAGAGAGAGAGAGAGAGAGAGAGAGAGAGAGANGAGAGAGAGAGAGAGAGAGAGAGAGAGAGAGAGAGAGAGAGAGAGAGAGAGAGAGAGAGAGAATGGAAGCAACTTGGCCTTCACTTGTCCCTTATCAGTCCGGTGACATTGGCTGAGCTCTTTTTTTTGTTCTCTTCTGTTTTTTTTGCATCTTTGCAGGCGCTTTTGCAGAGCACGATACTGCTACGGCTGGAGTGACCGTGAAAGGGGCAGTCACTGCGGGTGTGGGGCTTGAAGTGGCTGCGGCTAACCTTCAGGAGTACTGTAATGGTGATTTTGCTAACCTCGGCATTTGCTGGCTTGCTAATTCGACTCTGAGCCTTGAAGTTTGGAAGTAGGTTTGAAATTTGGAGAATTGCCCGAAAAGTGTTCAGAGATGTCCAAAACGAATCTGAGTTTTCTGGTCAGAAAAAACTGTCACTGCCGTTTTAGGGTCAGTTCATCTGTGTGTAATGACCCGCCATAACACAGACTGAGAACGCTGCTGATTTCTGAAGTTCTGCCGATGGAATGGATGCCTTGCTGAGATTCCCGCATTCTGCTGTGTTTTCTAAGTCTGAATGTGTGCTTGCCTGCTGACTTGCGTGCCTGTCTGAGTGCTTGTCGGCATGAGTGTGTGTGTGACCCGCAAGGGTACTTGCTTGTTTGGCAGGCCCGTAGGGCCGGTACTTACCTGTGGCTGTGGCATTGAGGGTTGCAGCAGGGAAAAACACTCGAGTAGTGGAGCCAGGGGCCCGCGGTGCTTAGAGCAGTGGAAAAACACAAGTAGCAGGTAGGCTGGTACCACACCCAGTAGCAGTAGATGTGCCGGGTACTCGAGGCCGAGCAGAAGAAGACAAAGTTGGCATTTTTAGAGGCCCAGTAGCGGTAGGCTAGGTCTAGGCCGGTACCAGTCCATCCAGTCCGAGTCTAGAGCCTGTACGGGCAATATCAGAGTCTGCAATGATGTTTCCCTCCGAAAGGGAGGAGGAGCGGCCTGGAAGTCACCGCCCAGGAGGCAAGCAGGCCGCTATATCAAGAGGCCGAGGCAAGAGCTCGGCCTCATTCTTCAGTGTGCAAGTTTGGCGACACGCTGCTGGAGCGCTGGGTACTACAGCGCTGCTGGGAGGAAGAAGCCGGGAGCTTCCACCTTGGCTGTGGTGGAGCTCTACCGGTAGGAGGAGGGAGAAGGGGACCAAGGAGGAGAGTGGTGAGCTACCTACCTGGCTATGGTGGACACCATCTTCATCACCTTGTTAGGCGCTGCATCTGGAAGGCCCCAGTTGGGGTAGTGCCGCATCAGGGAAGCTCGGGACAGAGTCAGGCATGGCGGTTGAGTGGGCAGCGGCATAGCTGCATGGTGTGGACCTTGGGACAGAAGGGCGACGACATAGCTGCTTGGGTTGTCCTTTGGACAGGAGGGTAGAGCCCTCAGTGCTCTGCCATAGCCTCGGCCTGTACGTAGAGGAAGAGGAAGGGTGGCCATGGCTATGGTGGACCTCATGTTGTGCCTGCAGTAGAAGTGGGATTCGGACATTGATTCTGGTTCAGCCATTCAACATTATTATTGTTATTTCCTGTTTGAATAAGAGGGGGAGGAGATAAGGAGGAGGAGATTGGTTGGCGAGGAAGAAGAGCCTTGTCATTGGCCTATGCTGGAGTACATCATCTTCTTCTTCTTTCTTACTTCTTCTTCTTCTTCTCTCCCTCTCTCTCCTCTCAAGTTCATTTATTTCTTTTTGCAATTGGATGGCATTGTACTCAATTGGACGGCATTGTACTTTCTGATGAATGTATACTTCGAAATTGGCCAGGATCGTAACATCTGTTGTCACTGAAAACCAGTCGTTTCTTCAGTCAAAGAGTTGATCGAACTTAATTCCCATAGTGCTCGTGTTTCCCTATCTGTCTGGCCGTCTCCCCTCTCGTCCTGGTGGATAGGCCCTATCCGGACCATTCTAAACTCCAACAGTGAAAGTGGAAGGTCGTTATGTTCACTGGAGATGCCAAAGGCCTCAGAAACTTCAATGATGTTGCAGTGAACATACAGAGAGGTTTTGCTCACTGCAAAGAGAAGATGCTAATGTCAATGGGCCTAATGATGCTAACCTGCAGTACTTCGTGAAATCACAGCCGTTAAAATTGGATCGATACGAAGAAGGTCAGCATGACCTTGCACAAGGATTGCACACAAATTGAGAAGCATGCTAGTTGTCGACGTTTTAAAAAACAGTGCATCGCCTTTTCTGTCCGCGCATAGGCAGCAAGTGTGAATTTGCCTGCAGTGCCAATGGACCCTGAGTGCTAACAGACCCAGAGTGCCAACATACCCATAGTGCCAACAAACCCAGAGTTTGACAAAGCTTTTGGTGCTGAGCTCCAGAAGGGAGGGAGTGTTCCACATATTCTCAACGATTCGCCTTCAAGGCGAGTCTGTGTCACTGTGACGGTTCGGCCAAATAGGCGTCATGAGAGAAGCAGAGCATACTCACATGGCAGTAAGGACTTTTTTTAGTTCGTGTGTGTGTGGATCCACCACAAATGCGCCCATTGTCAATCAAAACTATCCTAATGTCCGCAGTTCTTCTTGTAGTGGAATAGTCACAAAGCAGTGACTGCGTTAATAGTGCTATGATGCTGTCCATTTTATATGATAGCGGAATTGTAGCGATAACTGCACCATATAACATGCATGCGTATGCTAATCCTAATTTTATGTGATGGTGAAGTGAAGCTGTTTTATCTTTTTCCCCCCCCCCTGCAAGTTGTGGCGATGCTCCCAAATAGAACCTGATACAATGTAATCTTGATAGCCTGACTTGTTTGGTCTCTGTATTTCTGTGGTCTTCATTTGTTTGCTGTGGGCAGAGTTGGAAAATAGACTCCTTGACCGGTTTGCGGAAGCTGCGAGAAATAGGGATTTGAAAACCATGGCGGAATGTGGGAAGATTTTGTCACAGGTGATTTATGACAAACACTATACCGTGCTGCTTGTGTTCGACCAGCAGACTGCACCTGCAAGTCATCCCTGTCCACACATTTTCTGAACGATCGGCCCTGGAAATACCTCTCTTGTCCTCCTCCTCCTCCTCCTCCTCTTCCTCCTCCTGTCTATCGCTGTGTCTCACCATTTTTGCATCCGTCTGGAACCACTGGGACAATTACCTCCTNCTCCTCCTCCTCCTCTTCCTCCTCCTGTCTATCGCTGTGTCTCACCATTTTTGCATCCGTCTGGAACCACTGGGACAATTACCTCCTCCTCCTCCACCTCCTTCTCCTCTTCGTTGTCGTCGTCCTCAATTCTTGCATCTTGCCTACCCTCTTGCTCAAGTGACAAGAGATTGGACGATTGGAATCTTCTCGTGTTTGTGGCCACAAAATTCTGACACTTCAAAATAATCTCGAGTGAGTCAAGTCCATTTTATTAGCATGAATTTTTGTGGTGATTGCACTTTGTTTACCTTCTTTGTTAGGAATCTTACTTTTGCTGGTGATGTCCAGCAGAAGCGTTGTGATGATTGGTATTCAGCAACTCGTGATGATTGGTTTTTCATCAACACATGTTGTTTTCATGCCCAGCAGTTGTTTTGGTCATGCCCAAACACTTGTCTTCTTTGCTTCATGGGGTTGGTATTATTAATGTTGACATTTGTGCTCTTGTTCTCTGTCTGCACTTCGTTGCGACTGCTGTATGTGCTTTTTTGGCTTTGGTGTTGCCTCCAACTGTGGATGCCTCTACTATAGCCAGGGCATTCATGTTGGATATAATGATATTATAATCCCAAATTTGGAATTTCACTAGTATGCAGAATTTCCGATTTCGGCATTATTCCCTTGGCTCTCGTTGAAGAGCATGTGGTGTAGAGAATGCTGCAGCTTTTCATTATGCTTACCGAGAAATGTCTCTGAGACTGGTCTTTTTCCTGTCTAATGTTTGCTCTATGCTCGTGTGCTCGGGTGCTGCGCTGTGTGTCCTATTGCTATTGTGCCCAGTTTAACAGGGGTAGTAGTGCAATGCAGCGGTACGTTACGTCGAGGCCCATGTTTCTAGATCCAGCAGTCAGAACAGCTGATGCCATGCTGGCTCTGAGTGACATCAACATGTGGGGTGTGAGGGTACCAACACCGGAAGGCGGATCAGAGGCAGAGAAGAAGGGCTCGCGGGGTTCTTTGAGTGGATCGTCTGTGGATGGGGAGTCCAAGAAGGCGGGGAACAGAAGTGGATTGACGACACCTGCAGAAACCGACAAGCGCATGAGACGGGGGTCACTCACGGGAGGAACCATCATGCCAACACTCCCCTGCAACGGGCTTGGGCAACTTTATGCTGACATCATTGGTGAGGCTAGTGAGAACACACAGGTGTCTCACCTCCCACAAGCCTTGGGGTCAAATAGCTAATATCAATCAATGATGAACCAATCCACAAGTCAGTTGGTCGACCAATCAGTCAATCACTCGTTCATTTGTTCGTCTGGTTGTCAATCTGTCCCTCTGCCCATCTATCTGCTCCTTCACCCCTCTGTCCTTCCATCCCTCCATCCAGCTGTTAGCCCCCCCATATGGCCCTCTGCCTGTCCGTCCGTCTGCCCCTCCATCCATTCCACTGATCCCCATTCATCCGTACCTCCTCCTCCGTCCCTCTGTCCCTCCGCTGCTCTGCCCGCTTGGTCTCTCCGTTTCCCTTCAAGCCATTCAAATGTATGTGTTCGCCTGGCGTGTAGTCCGGTATTCTGGTTTGTACGATGTCTCTGGTTCAATTGCTAGCCTCTGACTGTGTTTGGACAGGTTGTTGCCATGATTATTGCGTCGCACTAAGGTGGCTGTGCATGGCACCTCCACAGATTTGTATTCAGCGATTGGAAAAGTGTGATGTACGGGGAATTAATTTTGTTTGTGGTCCTGCTTTTGGTCTTTCATGTGGATGACACACTCTTGCAGAAACGGTGAAGATGGAAGCCAAAACAATAAAGGCAGTGTTTCCATCTCCCAATGCAGTCATGGCTCTGCTTGTGCAGGTGGGAGGTTCACTCTCTGCTTCTTATCCCTTAAGTTGTTAACCAGTACTCAATGGTACGGCCTTGATTGAAATCTTGTGCGAATGATGCAGAAGACGGTTGCTTGTGTGTGTGTGTGTGTGTGTGTGTAATGCCGATGCTGTTTTGGCTTCTTCTATCAGGTTGTATAAAAAAAAGGTTTGTTGTGGTGCAGGCCAAGTCTAACCCTTGGATCTTCTGTGACCTCCTGCTGGGTAGTGGATATTTATTTTCTTCACAAGTCCTCAGTGCTGGCCCACTTTTCGTTTCTGTTTGTTAAACATTTTCAGCCCGAGCCCTTCTGATTCAGCTCATTCTGGGCATACATGCGAGCCTAGACGTTAGGCTCCTCCTCCCTTTGTGTATTGCTCGCCCATACACATGCATCGGTTCAAACCATGGTATGCGGATTCAGTATCAAGAGAGGAGTATTTTTTTCCTATTCAAGTGTAGCTTGGTATTGTAACCTTGTACATTCCTAATGCGCACCCCTCACATGTACATTCCTTGTGTGCATTCCGTTTTGTCTATTGCTTATGCGTGCAGCCGTCGTGTACACTCCTTTTCCTTCTTAGTTCATAGATATGTCACATGTGACAATATATATGATGAGCAGTTGTGCTCCATCCTGCACCCTCCTGCACCCTCCTGCCCCGCCGTCTCCTCCNTGTACATTCCTTGTGTGCATTCCGTTTTGTCTATTGCTTATGCGTGCAGCCGTCGTGTACACTCCTTTTCCTTCTTAGTTCATAGATATGTCACAAGTTAGTTTGTTTTTCAGCAGCAGTTGTGCTCCATCCTGCACCCTTCTGCACCCTCCTGCCCCGCCGTCTCCTCCACCCCCCCCCCCCCCCCCCCCCCCCCCCCCCCCCCTTCTGGAAAAAGGGAAAAAAGAAAAGAAAAAGGAAACTTTCTCTGCTGTTTGTTGGTCCACTGTTTAGAGATCATGCTCTAGAAAGTAGTTGCAAGATCGTAGAAACTGAATTGTGAAATATTCTGTTATGATGTTCAGAAGTTGGGGTGGCCACCCTTTTTCGTCTTTCCGGCTCCTTTTTATGAGCTTTCTGTGAACGTGCGAAACCAAATGTGGTCCACAGGTTCAACGTTGCCAGAATCAGGATACTTTTCTGATTTTCTGCTTACGTGTAGTTTTAAGTAAAAGCAGTAGAGAAGTCCTTCAGGACATGCATTAAAATTAGAACGATACGGAGAAGATGAGTGTGACCTCTGCACAAGGATGGCACACAGAGATAGGATAATGGTCCAATTAAAAAAAAAAAAAGTCGTTCCTCGGGACATCCGTATACAGAGCATATATACAGTGTAATCAGTTAGGGGATTCTGCGGACTGTTGAGGGTTCGGCCTCCTGATGAGTCAGTGAAACAGTTTGTCACAGCCCCTCATTTGTTGTCCTCGTCTCCCTCTCTGCCTTTTACCGGGCAGTTCTGCTTGATGATATATAGCATGGCCCCTGTTTATCAAGGATGACATGCATAGATCAAGCACTGGTCAAAAAAAGAAAAAAAAGAAAAAAAAAGAAACTTAAAAAAAGTTATCAGGCTGTTTGTCAGGGATGAACCGACCGGAACATCTGGCGCGGGCAACCATGCACTAGCCTGTAGTAGGAAATCCAGACACATCGAGAAGGCCCTCAGGGACAGATCCTTACCGTCTAGTACGGTTTATATGTGATGTACATGCGATAAGTGTCTGCGTGCTCCAAGGGGAATCTGAAGTGTAAGAGGGATTTAAATTTTAAAGGTAAACGGGCGTTAAATAAATGTGGCTGTTGTGGTTTTTCCTCGGTGAAAAGTTTGTTTTATCTCCATTGTAATCCTGTGTGACCCCTTCCCCGTTCCCTTCAAGCTTTTGTTTCCGCGGACCAACACATTATTCATTTGGTACCGCAGAGTTTTTGCATTCAGTGGAAATTGAAATTGTCATGTTAGTGTTCCACTCACATCAAGATATCAACTGTTTCTGATTCTCCTCGTCCAACTGTCCTTCTGTGAATTTATATTTGTCAGAAGAAGGTTTTGCAACTTCTGTTCTGCGAGGCTGCATTTGTTTGTATTAACCAAAGCTTCTGTAACCATGGGGAGGGGACAACTCCGTTCAGGTCACCCTTTCGCACTCTCTGTCTGCTACAAGCGCACCCTTTTCCTGCGCGAATCTGAAATCTTGATCTCCAAACAAGAAGATTTGCTCTCGCCCCCACAAAAAGAAAATTGAAAAAGAACACGAGCCTCTTCTCATGATAGTGATGATGATGATGACGAATCACTGGCGATGATGAATATGTCGATGATGCTGTTGATGCTGTTGATGATGGTGACGGTGCTGGTGTTGGTGAATTGTTGTGGCTATCTGCTGTGTGCTGTGTGCTGTGTGCTTGTATCTACACAGTGCACAAAGATTTAAGTGCGGAGGTGGTGATGGTGGTGATGGTGATGATGGTGAAATGGTTCTTTTGCAGAGAGTGCTGGAGGAGCGAGTTGCTGCTGTCATAGACAGGATTCTAGTGAAGCCGTCGCTAGCGAACCCACCACCGGTCGAACAAGGTGGCTTACTCACTGTGCGTAAACCAACGTTTTTTGACCTGACAGCCCCTTTTTTTTCGCATTTGGTGCCCTTACTCAAGGATGAACATGCTCTTCATGCCAGTCAAGTTCATGCTTTCCCGTTTAGCACAAGCATATAGGCAACAAAGGTGTCAGACCCTCAGCAGATGCTATCAGCCTTGCTTGCCATTCATGCGTTGAGAATGAGCCAAATGCGTCTTGAATCCTCATATAATCCCTCCCAAAACCTGCCTCCCCCCTTCCCCCCTCCTTCACCCCCCGGTCGCCCACCGATGCATCCTCTTGCCTTGCCCGTCTGTCTTGTCCTGCCCCTTTGGTGGCAACTGCCTTTATCTTTCCAAGGGTCTTACATCTACTATTTATGGTTTTGTTCTTTGCATGTATGTTTGTGCGTGCAGTATTTGCGTACTCTTGCAGCTGCATATGACAAGTCAATCGCTTTGGCCAAGGAGCTTCAGTCCCTTGGATGTGGCGACTTAGACGCTGTTGGTAAGAAAGAAGTTTGTGCCCCAACTCTTTTTCAGCCTTATGAGGCCCTTGTCTGGAAACCGTGTGAAACAATCGCTAACGCCGAGTCTTCGCCGGGTTGGCCAGACGAGCCAGGGCAGAGCCCACCTGGCTGGCGATATGTTTATCCTCGGACAGTTGCACTTTCTGAACCAGGTTAATTCTTTCTGAGCTTGAACAGACCACCGGTGGGGCCAGAGCTGCCAGACCCTCAGTTGAGTACTGCCCAACATAGCTACGCTTGTCACAGAAAGTCTTCTTTGGGCAACCACTGACTAATATGCCGTGTGCTCGTTGATTTGTCTGATGCCTCCAGTCTTTTTGTCTGTTTTTGCGTTTCCAAATGGGGTAATCCCCATCTTTTTCGCAGCCGTCTGATTCCGTCCGAGATTTGAACTCGTGAGCTGTTTACAAACACCTACAAACAGCTGCATATGGGGTAATCCCTGTCTAATTTTGCATTTAGCCACATGCACCGTACTTGTGCGACTCCAATCTGTGCCATAAGCAATAACTAAAATTGTTTACGTTATCAGCAGCCGGGGACCTTTATCTGATTCCATCAGATATTCGAACTCATGATCTGTCCATCAAGAACTAAGCGTTGCATATTTCATATATGTTATCTGCGACTCACGGGTGGAAAACGAGCAGATCACGACTTTGAGTCCTGATGTTGGATACAATTACGTTCGGCGATCGGCCCTTAAACCACCAGTACCTCTGGCCAACATTTTTCCGCCCCTGGAAATGCCCTCCGAGGCGGTAGCCATTTTGATCTGGTTCCCGACCCCCGCAATTCGCAGCACGTTAATGGCCACGTCGGAGAAAGATAGCTGGGCGAGGTACTGGTGGTTTTATGGAAGGAAGCACAGTCGTGTAGTTCATATCTAGTTGTTCATGACTTACCAGTGGAAAAGGAACTGAACTGATGCTACCCACAATATCAAGCAGCCAGGACTGTAAGTGCCTGATCGGTGCTATCCCCCTTAGCGATGACCGTGAAGGTCACTTGCTGCCTGCTCCTGCCTGCCTGTGCAGCTCTGTTCCTTCCAGGGGTGACACATATGTGCCCGACCCCTTTGCTGAAAAAAAAGAATGGACAAGAACAAACAGAAGGGGGGAGGAGTGAGGGGGTAGGAAGGAATTACTAAGACGAAAGCATGACCACTTGGGCGTGCCTGCTCCTGCCTGATGCTGCGGTTTCTCTTCCTCTTCACCTTGGCTGAGATTCTGTCAGGTGCCCCCGACCCATTGAATCCACACACTTCTGCCTACACTTCGTTCTCTGCTTTGCGCACTCTTCTTGCTGCCAGGTTGTGTGTTTTTAAATGATTAATCTATGAAGCACTTTGTTTGTTTGCTTGCTTTTGCTGACAAATCAGTTGCATCAGGTGCCCAACCCAACTCACCACTTCTGCCTATATTTCTTTCTCTGCATAACACATTAAATTTTGCTTGCTTGCTTGCTTGCTTGCTTGATTGACTGATACCTTGATTGATTGATTGATTGATTGATTGATCAACTGATTGATTGATTGCTTGATTTTTTGCTGGCTTGCTTATGCTGACAATTCAGGAATTGTGGATACACTCTTCTCCGAACACCGGGAGCAATTTCCAATTGTTGAGCAAGCCTCCTTGGACTTGCTATTTCACACAAAGGTTGGAAATCCTATCCTTGGCTTGCCTGGTTTCTCCACTTATAGACTTTGATAGGTCTTTTTTTGTTTTCTAAAACGAAATATCCGTTCGCTTGGAACGAGGTGGTGTCAACAACCCTGTCACTTTTACATGGATGTCAACAGCAATTCTCTGATCTTTTTTTAGCAGCCTTTGTTGCAGCCGTTTTTCAGAAAAAGGTTGGATCTCTCCTCATGCTGTCTCACATCACTTTCTTTTATAGTAATTGCAGGATCTACTCATCTTCTAGACTGGCAGAGCTGTGTCCAGTAAAGTGCACCGCGTCTGGACAGGAAATATCAATCAAGCCTCTGCAATAAATTTAGTATTTACAGATGTGCTCACTTTCACTGTATGTCTAAGCCATTGATGTCAGATCTGCTATTGTGCTTGCAACAAATCTGCCTGTTGCATCTGGGCTTGCAGCAAAGATGTGACAATGCAAATGGATGTGTCTGTGTATGTGTGTGATAGAGCTAGGGAGAGGGAGAGAGAAGATGGTGGTGTGCATGCGAGAGAGTGACGTAGAGGGAGGGAGGGGAACTATACGGTGAGGGGACCCAGTTCCCACTTCTATCTTTTACTCCTTTGGTAATTGACTGTTCACCATGTGGCAGTGTTCTTTCCTGTGTGTGTGTGTGTGTGTGTGTGTGTGTGTGTGTGGCCAATCGCCTGCTCTCTCATGCTTCCTCCTTCCCTTGCCCTTTTTGTGTCTGTAGTCCTGCATCATTGTTTGGGCCAATTGGTGGAAGTACTAGACGGAAGAGAGATTTTCAGGGGCAGTTTGGGTGAAATCTGGACTTGAGATTCTCCTGTTCGTAATGGGTATTGCGTTTTTGATAATTGTCAATTTATTCGTTCGTGACTATGGTTGCCACACAGTTCTTTGGCCAATGTGGAGGTCTTCGTTACAGAGCAGTCCCTGGGTGGGTGTTGGTGAGCTGCATTGCCGCAAAAGAGTCCTGACTTCTTTCTAAGATAGTTATTGTGTGGTTGACTTCGTGAGGAGTTCCAGGGAAGTCCCTCCTTGGCACTTCCTGAGGAGTCTCACAGGCAGTCCCAGGGGAGTCCCCTTTTAGAACCCTCTGGTATTCTGAGCCATGGTTACCATTGCGTGCTCTGGTTGTTCTTGGTGTTGTTTCTTTTTTTTTTCTTCTTCTTTTCCCTTGGGGTGGGATGCAAAACAATGAACAGCTAGAGGAAGTCAAGTCGGCCGTCGGGGAATCAAGCCCAGCCGAGGGAGGGGCAAAGGTGAAGGCAGCAGCTTACACGCCGATGCTGGCTGGTGTTGTGACGGAATTCGTCCGGTGGAATGAAGAAGCGGTTGCGCGTTGCATGCTCATCACCCCGCAGGTGAGAACTGAAGAGAGAGAGGATGGAAAGAGAGAGAGGGGCAGCAAAGACTTGAGTGGAGAAGAGAATGATGCAGATTGCTTGCGCATGCTATCTACACCCAGTTTGGGAGTCTCTTTTGAGCACCTGGGGTATATATATGCCCACAGTCCGCCTGTGAATATGCAGGCATCCACTTTTTCTAAAATTGTGGTCTGATTTTGTGTTGGAACAATGGAAAGGGTGTTATAAATGTGGACTTTGTGGAATTTCACAATTCTTTCTTTATAGGCAACAATGGATGGTCATGGCCAAGGCCAATTTTTCTGGTGGTTTCATGGCCGGATGAGAAAACTTCGAGGTTTTGAGGTTTTGTTTCTTTGCCTACTTTCTGTTTTGTTTCTTTGCCTACTTTCTGTTTTTTTTTTTTTTTTTTTTTTTTTTTTTTTTTTTTTTTTTTTTTTTTTTTTTTTTAGCTTTTTTTGTCACTGTTTTGTGTAACTTCTCTTTTGTTTTGTTTTTTTCTTGATTTTTCGTAAATACTCGTGGGATCCTGCCAACTGACCAATTTTTTTTTATTTTTTTTTTTTAGTTAGTGTTTTAACTGTTAAGTTTGGACCATTTCTCGATTTATGCGTTTTATGCGTGTCATCCTTGCGCAGGGGCCATGCTAATCTTCCTTCTCTGTATCGTTCCAATTTTCATGGATGTCCCGAAGGACAGTATGTTGTTATTTCAAGCTCCAAACTGTCCCTTGCTTTTAGCGCCAACAAGGTCGAGGTCCCACTTGGACGGATTAAGAGATGAGTCGGTCAAACTCCGACGAAACAGTTTGTCACAGCCCCTCGTTTATTGTACTCTTCTCCCTCTCTGCCTATGATTTACCGGGCAGCTCTGTTTGACTATATATTGGCTGTAGAATCGGCGTAGATAACAAGTGGCACCAGGCAAGTAGGACCTTGCCGAAGGGCCCAGGCAAGTGGACGATCGATCATCTGTGTATGGAATCTACGGGGCCAATGGCCGGTACTTCGTAAACCATGCAAGCGGGACCTTGCCCCATGACTCTCTGATGATGGCACCTCTTCCATCCAATTCCATGGTTTGCTATTTAAAAGAATGTCAATTGTCAAACATCCAGTTTTGTTATTCGGTTTTCATGTTTCTATATCCAAGTTTGTGTGCCTCCCATCTCATTTCTTTCCTATGTCATTTTGGTATATTATTGTTACTACTATATTCCAAATAATATGCGTCTGCCTTTTATTTGATTTGTTTCTTGTGTGGGGGATGTCTCATCCAATTTATTTCAATGGTGTGTAACCAGGAGGATCAGGCGATAGATGCGGCGTACGAAACTACTGAGCGATGCGAAATCGCTAATTAGTAAATTATTATTTACGAACTTTTTTGTTGTCCGTAACTTATAAAGTTACAAACAGCAATGTGTGAGAAACACGGATGTGGCTGCTATGGGGTTCTCGCCGAAACACACTGATGATGTGACTGCTATGAGGTTCGCCGTACCACTATAATGAAAATTAAAAAATGTCTGAAAGGCCATGTCCCGTCCAGATTTGACAGGTAATTGAATTGGTCGGGCTCAAAAGAATTACTTTAAAAAAAAACCTCCAAAATTAGCGACTTGCGACTCATAGCGAGTGAATTGTGTTCAAAAAAGTTACCTACAAAAAAAAAAAGGTCCTTTGGGACATCTGTGAAGATTGGAACGATACAGAGAGAGAAGATTAGCATGGCCCCTGTGCAAGGATGACACGCATAGATCAAGAAATGGTCCAAATTATTACATTTCTTTTTTAATTAGTTCTATGATTTCTAATTTTCTATCCATCTCCAGGGACCCAAGGACTCGAAAAATCAAAGTAACGAAATTCTTAGTGTTGATAGCTTTGTTATGTTTCCAGTTATGTTTCCAGTTATGTTTCCAGAACAAAGATTCTTTTTGTCGAATCCAGAACCCAGTACTACTAAAGTGGCTATACATACCAACTTTTTCACAGATCTCTATG